AAATAACCTAGCAACAAAAGACAACTAACCTAGCAGCGAGAAAGAAATAACCTAGCAACAAAAGACAACTAACCTAGCAGCAAGAAAGAACTAACCTAGCAACAAAAGACAACTAACCTAACAGCAAGAAAGAACTAACCTAGCAGCAAGAAAGAAATAATCTAGCAACAAAAGACAACTAACCTAGCAGCATCAGACAACTAACCTAGCAGCATCAGACGCCCTCATCACCGCCTTCCACGCGTCCCTTCAGGCCTCCTCGAGCTATGATGCAGAGATTCAGGCATTACAGATCGGCCTTCAGATTGTTGTCCACCTCTCTAGCCACATTTGGATCGAGCTAGACGCTGCGGCTGTAGCCACCCTTTTGACCTCGGGCCACCAGGGCTCGTGGCAGATCCAGCACCCGCTTATGCGTATTAGAGCTCTACTCCGGTCTGTCAATCACACGATCACGCACATTTTCCGTGAGGGGAACAGACCTGCCGACTACCTGGCCAGCCTTGGCGCCACCATACCAGACACACATACGTTTCAGACCGACACTGCTCCACTCCGCATTCGCACTCTTGTACGGATGGACCAGCTTGGATATCCAGCGTTCCGCTTTCAGTAGTTTAGGATTTTTGATTTCATTAGTTTAGATATTTATTTCGGGCAACTGTTAGCCCAAAGATCGACTTTGTTTTGTATTTTCTGGTTCTTTTTCGTTTTTTCGGATTTTCCTTTTTCGTTTCTCCTTTTTCTTTTGATTTTGACTTGTGAGACTCTGTAGACTTTTGTATCTTTCTCGTTGATATTGTGGGCCCCAGATTTTGGGGCCCTGATCTATGTATAGGTTGGGGATCCAGCCCAATCCCCGCCCTTCCGGGGCGTTGTTTGTTTAAAAAATAAATAAATAAAAAAAAATAAAAAAAAACCTAGCAGCATCAGACAACTAACCTAGCAGCAAGAAAGAACTAACTTAGAAACAAAAGACAATTAACCTAGCAGCAAGAAAAAAATAACCTAGCAACTTAAGACAACTAATCTAGCAACAAAACTCAACTAACCTAGCAGCCACAAATAACCTAGCAACAACAAACAACTAACCTAGCAACAAAACACAACTAACCTAGAAAGAAAGAAATAACATAACAAAAGACAAATGGTCAAAGGTCAACGTCGGAAGTCAACGATTTTCGCCGGAAGTCAACGCGGGAGTCAACGGTCAATGGTCATAATAATATTTAAATAATTAAAAATAAATAATTAGATAATAAAAATAAAGAATTATTATTTAAATCAAGATCTAAATCTTGTGGCTAGGAATGAGTCTCACGTCCTCACTTTAAATAAGCGGATTTGAACCAATCCCTATATATATATATATATATACACACATATATATAGGATGTGGCTCAAATGAGAACTAAGTCCTAGCCTGAGAACCGTGAGAACTGCTATTTTTAATTTTATGAAGTGCTATGATTGAGTGTGTTATAGTGCTATTTTTAACCAGGATGTACTATATTAAAAATAGCAACACAATTTATATTAATATTTTTTAAAATGATAGCATCATTTAATATTTAAAAAAGCATCATCCACAATTAAAAATAGTATCAAATACGGTTCTCACGGTTCTCACACCAGGTCTGGTTTTTATTTGA